AGTGACAGCTATTCTCACACTGTACAGTGATTTATTGCTCTGAATTAGCATATATGCTTATATAGCGATATACCATGTGGATAGTAAAGATGGTTTCGATAAACATAATAAGAACAGTAGCTATTATCAAAATAAGATCTATATAGCTTGGCCACTGAAGGACTTTACTTGATTCTGTGACTGTGCCTTTTCAGTTTGATGCTAATGGATCCCCTTGTTGCCACAGTTGTTGTTCAAGCTGTCATCATAAGTGATGTTTGTGTTAGTAATAGCAGGAGAGTTTTCTATCGACTCTCTAATAATACATAAAGAACTGCAAACCAATCCATAATGAGCACTTATCCTTCTTCACTTCCTTTTTTCCTCTAATGCTTCATGTCTTCTATCTGCTTGACAATTTTATTTTGAAGTTTAGAAATTCTGTTCCATTTAACAGTTTGACTTCTGTTGGTGTAGTTTTTCTCTGCAAAGGAACAAGCATTCAGACTCTGAAAACTGAGGTATTCATGATCCTGTTGAGATCCCTTAAATTACAGCAAAGACATCTCCAGAATATTCAAATGTATCCAATCCCTTACCAAATTGTAGTAATTATGTTCTCAGTTGCTTTAGTCCATATGTTAAATCTGTGCTCTGTTTATAGACAGGATGTATGTCTTCCTTCTCTTGTTTTGGTAGTGAATGGTAAAACAAAAGGCCATGGAGAACAGTTTCTGGTCATCCTGTGGCTTCCACAAGTGGTACTGGGTACCCTCCATCTGTAGCCTCCTGTGCCAATTTCTTAATCTTCAAAGTTTCTGGTTTTAGAAGTGGAATTTTGAGTACACTGTATATTGCAGGATATGTCTTATTGAACTTCCCCTCCAAAAAAGTGATTAGAATGAAGCACAGTGTTTAAAGTGTGGTTTCAAAGCAGATGAGTCCATTCAGTTGAGCTAAACATTGTTTCTGAAACACCCAATACCTATATTTATGCTTCCTAAATTGGGGAGAAAACTAAGAAATAAGAAAGAAAAAAGCAGCAGATTCAGCAGATCTTATCTCACTATTTCCCCCTTCTGTTTTCATTTGCACTTCTATTTCCATGCAATATTTCATTTCTTTATGCATCTATCACTGTTTGCTTCTGTCAGAAGTTCAAAGGCAGCCTGCTCTCATAAAGGAGAGACAGTATTGACTGATCTATAATATCGTTTCTACCTTTTTTGACCAATCCTCAATGCATATTTTCAGTTTTGAAAAGCATTTCATGAATCACTGGGCAGTTTGAAAAATCTATAGTGTAGGCTCATTACTTTATGGCTGCTGAATGTTTTCCATTGGTTGTGTTTGCAATGCAAAAACACAGCCCCTTCTTTCAGGAAAAAGAGGTTAAAATTTCATATATACATAAATAATAAAACAACACAGGGAGGTGATATTGGTGTGATATATTTCATTCCCTATATACCTTTGACTGCCCTGCTGTCCATTAATCCACACAAACTTCCATCATATTCCAACCTCCTTAGCACCTTTAGTCTCATTTTTCTAGGTAGTCAGTCAAAAACCGCTTACTTGTCCCCTCTGAAATGTGGCACTCCCAGCCATCCACACAAATGTCACTGGCTGCAGGCCCAGGACAAGCAATATTCTGTTCTACACTAGTGATCATGGTTTAAGCTCATACCTCATGAGGCTGCAGAAGTGAGAGCTTTATACTTCCTAGTGAGCTCCTTGCCCCAGCAAGCAGAGAGGGATAAAATGGCTGTAGAAGGTAATTCCAGTGAGTCATTCTTGAGAAGACAGATCCAGGGCTTCACAAACCTCAGGATATAATGGAAAGGACAAAATGATGCAACTTTAACAGGAGTCACTTTGAGATTCGTTTTAAATTTTTAACAAATATTTTCTCATGTTTAGCCATCTACAGAATCTTAGTAACTCAGATTCTTCATTTCAAAGGCATAGGGATATCAAAGTGGTCCTGACACAATTAGCCTCTCCCCTCCATTCTATTTTAAGCACTTCTATCGCCAATATTTTTCTGAAAAACACATACACATAGCGTGATGGGAATGTATTTAAGTGCTTTCAGCACTCCTGCAGAGTGACACACAGAACTCACCTAGAGTTTAACTACTTATATCACACCAGATCCCTTTTCTTCTCACTCTTTTGTGAAGGGTAGTATATAAACAAAAGCTTCCTCTTTCTTACTCTGTTTAAAACTAGGCACAGATCTAAATCAGTTCTCTAGAACATTATCTTTTTTTTTTTTTTCCCCAGCAAAGGAGCCACACTGCCATCAATGAGTCACAAAATAATTAAACATTTAAGACTGTCTGGGCTTTCATTCTGAGGAGGTGACAGGGCTGAAGGGTAGCTGCAGCTTCCAGTTTGGAGGCATTCTGTGTACTGGCTGCACGTGCAAACACCCTGCCTTGTGGTGGGAAAGAGAGAGGGACACAGGGAGGTTCAGGGCAGGGTTTGCTGGAGTCACACAGAGAGTAGACAGTGCACTCAGGGAAAATGTCCTGGCAAACAACCTCTGGATCATCAACACACCAGCCACTGCCCTCATCCTAACGCACACTGAATAGTTTGGCTACCAGCTGCTGAGGTGCACTGGCACAGAGGCTCCCCCACTCCAGCACTCAGTCCAGGCCAACCATAATGTGGAAAGGAGGTTTATAATTGTTCATTATATTAAGGTGTAAATTATGCTATGTTGTCTCTACATGAACTTCATGAGAAATCAGCCCCAGTTTGAAAGGGCTATTTTATATCTCCCTAAGGGAACCTCTGAAAGACAATCTGGGCTAAAATGCATTATAAAAAGGTAGTTATTTCATTCATCCAGACAGCTCAGGGGAAGTTGCTGTTTAAGCAGTTTTATTTAGGCATCAGTGAAAGGACTCTGCTGCTCCAAGTCCATTGTCAGTTTTTAGAGGTTTGTCTCTATCTGCACCACTACTTCTTACAGGGATTTTTCACTCTACATGGATTTTTATGTTATCATTAGCATCTTAGGTCCTCCTGAAGCTGCCACAAGCAGATTTTTATTCCATATGACTATTTTGTCAGCCTGTAGCTACCAGAAAGGTGAAAATGAGAAGGGTAAATTGGAAGAGGAGACAATCCAGTCTCTTCCATGCAGATGAAAGGCTCTCCTCAGTCAGACTTTGCTATCGCTCTGCCATTTTTTCTTCTGTGCTAGGGAAAGCAGCTGTTTATTTTTTAATCTGTCTTTACCCCAGCTCTAAGGAGGACTAGAAATGTATGTTCAGTATCCCTTGCATATAGAAAATAAATTGGTTGAATCAGGAAGTCAGAAGGACTTTAAGGAGTTTTCTGTATTGACTCGTTTCCAAGTTGATTAAATGCTTATAAGTTCAGCCTGTGCTCTTCTTCTTGCAAGTCTAACTATTGGGTATACAGATTCATATCTACATGTATACAGACTCCAACAGTGTTAAAAAAAACAAACCTCCAGACAGCTAGAACTATTAGTTCATAGGAATTTTAAATTAAATTAAATAGCTGGGCTGTTTTCCAGACGATTTCTAAAGTTCCCATGCTTACACAAAAACCTCCGTATGATTTACATTACACTACTGTATTTGTTTCAGTGAGCATTTGACTGCCAAGAATACCGTCTATGACCAACATGGCAATCTAATTAAATATTTGACGAGCAGAAAGCTGGACATTATTCAAGTCAAGCATTAAATTAGAAAATTTAGTTTGTCTCCTTTATCAGTAGATTTTTAAATCAGCCTATTCTACCAAAACCCATAAGTTTAATGAATTTGGTCAGACATACTGTGTAACAGATGTCTAACACACAGCCATGAGCCTAAATCACAAAAATGATGCTTCACTTCGGCATGGTAAAATATATTAGAAAGGCGCAGAAAGGTCAGTCACCAGCAACCTGCTTGCTGGTATTTGAGAAACAGCACTGTAAAATGCATGAGCTGCCTTTTGTAGTCTCTTGCAGGAAGCCTTGGAGAGCCACAGATAATTTGCTTTCAATGATTCATCAAGTTGGCCCTTTGTTTCACTAATTTGAGTGTCAAGTGCAACCACATAATAAAGAATTACCAAGACCAGATAAGATTCTTCTTATATTGCTCCGTTTGTCTTAACAACTGGTACTATTGAAACCAAACTCACAAACTGAATAAATAGCAAGCATGTGTGCAATATGGCATTCTTCTGTGAAATGATAAAGCGTGTTTACTGCTCTATCTGCTGACGTACCATACATTCTTGTTTCTTTTTTACTTTCTTAAAAGGCACTAAATGCTGCGTGCTGTGCCCATGCTAGAGATGGCATTTGTTTCACTGTTAGTCCTCCAATGAATTAGTAAAGATAAAAAATGGATTTCAATGACAATTCCAGCCTTGAGAAAGCTGCTATTGTGACCATGGTTGAGTTACCCTGCTGATAGTTTTCTCCTTAATGTAATTTTTAATACTATATAGCTGTGGGTTAGATGTGAAGCCATATATTAGAACTATTATTTCCATGAGTAGTTTCAAGTGAAATAACGTCATGATTAGGAGATAGATTATTTCAAAAATGCTGTCAGTCTAATAACTTCGTAAGAGATCAACCTTAAAAAGGCTTGTTTAGAAGGGGTATATTTATAAACGTGGAATTTCCAGAGCAAAAAGTCTACGTGTTATGAGGTCTGCTAACAAAGTTTTCTCAACTGAACTGAACACCATTAACACAAACAAATAAAGAATAAAGAAGTTTAGAAGGCTGCTTGTGAGACTGGGAAAATGTCCGCCTTCAGAAACCAGAGATGGCATGGGGAACAAGTCTGTCAGATTTGCTTTAGAAAACGAAGAAAGCTTCTGTCAAAAGGGTTTGAAGCCGTTTGTTAGAGCTCGGGAAAGGTTGTGTGAGAGGGTGTTGTCAGCGCCGCGCAAGGAGTTTGAGGGCGTCGATTTTTTTTTTTTTTTTTTTTTTTTTTTTTTTTTACTAACGTGAATTTAAAGTATTGCCTGAACGCCGCCAGCTCCAGGAAACCCGGCTAGCGGTGGGAGAACGGGAAAATTTCCCGCTGGGAAAAATACAAATAACGTGCCGTGAGGGTCGTGCCCCGGTGCCAGGGGCAGGACGGAGGCCTGGGCAGGGGGAGGGAGGGAGAGAGGAAACCCCTGCCCGGTGCCCGCCGGCGGAGCAGCGGCGGAGCGGGAGGCAGAAGTTTTAACTTCCACCTGCCCTGAAGTCGCCGCTGCGCCGGCAGCAGGAGGCGGAGGCGGGGGCGGAGGCAGGCGGGGCAGCCGAGGACCCGGCTCTGGCAGGCTCCGAGGGTCCGGCCGGGTGTAATTCCCCCCTAATCCCCGCCACGGCGGCGCTTCCCTGGCCGAGCCATGTCTGCGGCTTCCCCGCCATGCCGAGCCTAGCGGGGAGCGGGAGGACTGGCGGCCGGGAGGCGCACAAAATGAAGACCCTGATGGTAAGTGCATTGTTGGCACTGCTCATCCCGGCTCCGGCGGCGGGGAGGGGACGAGAGGAGAGGAGAGAGGCGCGGGGCTGCCCCGGGCACCCTGCACACGCTCCATCCTTCCCCGGCTCTTCGGGATCGCGCGGAGGCCACCAAAACCTCGGCGGCGGCGGCCAAGAACTTTCCGCCTGCTTTCTTTTATTCGTGTTTGCTCGTGGTTTGCGGGGTTCTGCGTGTGTGTGTGCGTTCTAAGGAGCGTATAGAAAACCGATCTGCTTAAAGGACGATGCTGGAGGTATCTGGGCGGAGGGAAGCGCTCCAGTCCCCAACACTCCTTAAAATGCACGAATTGAGATGCCCAGAGGGGGACGGCGGCTCGGGGATGAGGCGCGGGGGAGCCGGGCGCTCGGAGGGGAGGAGAGGCGAAGGAGCAGGGCTGGTGGAGAGGGTGGCAGGCAGGGGAGCGGGCTGGGCGAGGGAGGGGGTTCCCCAGTTCTGCCGCACTTTTGCCGGGTCTCTGGCGGGTGAAACTTGCGGGTGCGCCGGCGGGGGAGCGGCGATCCCCGCTGGGCCCCGCGGCGCGGGGAGCCCGCTGAGCCGGCTGTGTCTCTGCCCCCCGCAGCGCCACGGGCTGGCCGTCTGCCTGGCGCTCACCACCATGTGCACCAGCTTGTTGCTCATGTACGGCGGCATCGGCGGCATCGGCGGGGGCCACCCGGAGCCGCGGCGGCGGCAGCAGCAGGTGGCGGCGGTGCCCAGCCGGCCCCCCGAGCGCGGCCAGCGCCACCCGGCTCTGCCCGTCGGGGCCGGCCTCCTGGAGGGATACATCAGCGTCCTGGAGCACAAGGTGAGCCGCCGGCCGCGGGACCGCCCCTCTCTCCCGGCCCCCGCGGGGGGAACCTGCCGAGCTCTCCCTGGTGCCCCCCGGAGATGCCCGGTCCCCCCTGGGCGGGATCGCCGTGCCCCCGCTGTCAGGGCTGGCTAATGCAGCCCTCGGGTGCCGTCGCGCCTCGCCCCGAGGGCGCGACTTAGCGGGGTCAGGACCCGGTGTGAGCCTGCGGTTGGGCATTTGTGCAGTGCTGGTTGTCTTCTCCCTTGCGCAGGGGAAGAGGGAGGGTGAAGTGTTTCGTTTCTGGTGTTGGATGCTATAGCTACAATACAAATGTGTGTTTATGGTGATAGTCATAAGGGTTAAAGAATGAAGTTTATTTACTGGAAGGTCAATAGGTAGGTGTTTATTCTTAGCTCGTTTTGTCATGGGAAACCAAAAAGAATGTCTCCTACACAAATGACCTTTTCATCCACCTCTTGGGAAGCAGAAGTTGCCAACCATAGTTACCATTATAGAAATTGGGGGGCATTTCTTTAATGCTGAACAAAATTATGTCCCTCCCCTTGACAGAGGAATTACCAGGCTGGATTGTCAGACTGTAATACCTGTTTACCAGAGATAGGCAGACTAAGCTTTGATAGCTCGCAGGGCAGATGTAGTGACATAAAGTGAGCAAGGTGGCACATCCATTCTGAAGAGATAGTTGATCTTCAGGAATTTTCTGAGAAGGCAGATTCCTCTACTTTTGTGCTGTGTTCAGTTTTGTTGCACTTACCTAGAAACTCCAAGGTCTTCCTCTGCCAAAACCCCAGATAATGTTTAGTACACACACATCTTGCAGTAAAAATTTTCAATAAAAAATAAGCAAGGGAAGTGAGGATTCTTAACTTTCTCATGTTTTCACATCTAGACTGACAACTTTCTGAAAGATAGGTTGTCAAACACGTTACTGGGCTCAGTTTAGAGGTACTGTGTGAAGACTAGTGACTTTGATATACAGAGATTTTTATTGTTCCTTCTGGCATCGCTTTCTATGCAAGAGTTATCTGTAGGGCTCTTAACACAGAAAAATAGCACATGATGGTGCCTTGTGGGCTTTATTTGCTTTCTTACTTGGTTCTCCTGGAAATTCTCAAATGTAATGTCTATAGATAAAGCAAGTTTGGCCACAGGCTTCCTACTGTGTGAGATGTCCCCTTGTAATTCCTTCATTCTTCTTTAACATGACTGTAGTGATAAGTGCAGATATATATGCACATGATTTCTGTAAACAGCAGTAATTGAAAAGGCATCTGTGGATTTTTGGGATGCATAAGTGAGTAGCCCTCTGACACTGATAACTTACATTGGTTTCTCCTGACTCACAAACACCCCTCATAAACAGACCATACTCAAAATCACTATTCTGTGTTTATTATTTTCCAGGGTAATTTTAATGTTTCCCAGTGTTTTGGAGAAAGATGATTCTCTGGCTTTTTAATATATTGTAATGTGGCCTGAACCCCACAGATACTCCATTTCTGAGTTTCATTTCACACAGCTCATGCCTCACAGTAATAATCTGCTGAAGGTTTAATAACTTTTCCGCATAACTTCTGTGGGTCAAAAAGAATATTGCACAATCCCTGCTGTGTTCCCAGCTTGCTTTGTCTTATTTTAATGCACATGAGATCATGCAGAGAACTCTGCCACTGTGGTATACAGAGCAGTGAGGGCACTGTATTAATGTAAGGGAATGATGGGGGAGAGAAGGGCTTTGACTCTTCATAGTGTATTTGTTTTAGTAATTTCATTTAGTAATCCATGTACTTGACATGGATTTACAATCCCAGAACATAGAGGTTTCCTGCAGAATAAAAAAAATGGAGAATGCAAAAGATCACAGGCATTGATGGTTTGGAAGAAGGATGCAGGATCAGTGATGGTGAGAATGGGGAGAGAGATTGCAAGAACTGAGAAACAATGAAGTGTTTTCAGAGAACATGTGTTTTGGGTGGAACACTGGAAACTGCAGAGAAGACAGCTTGAGTAGCAGGTGTCATAAAAGTCCAGCCCATAGTGAGAAAAAATGAGGGAATCAGGGAGGTTTAAGGAACATAAAGAGAGCAAGATAAAATTCTGTAGCTGTGAGAAGGACGTGAAGAGACAGGGAGGGAGGTCTGGAAGGAGATGAAAAGCACCTGTTGTTTGAGGACAACAGGCTTGGAAAGGTAAGGGAGGAATGAGTTCAGCAATGGTCCATGCTGTTTTGATAGCACAGGGGTGACTGTGTGAAATGACAATGAATGGTAGATTTTTCACAGTACAGCCTCCTTCATTGCCCATGTAGAATCTTGGGATTTTCTGTCAGGTCGAATGACCTGAAGCTGAATGACCATTACACAAAATTCATCCTTGGTATGTATTCATGCATGAGTTACAGTTACCAGTAGGCTAAATGTCTAGATCTACAGATCCAGGAGCTGAAACGTGTTCTTGTTTCTGGATCTCATAGTTTGCTTTCATACAAAAATCTTATTTCATGTTCGTGGTGTTGCACCCAAATGTTGTGCATTTAATGAGAGTAAGTATGCAACGCTATATGAAAGCTATATGATAAGTATTATAGATCTCAGTATTACTCCATAATCACAGCGTGAGGATTGACACTTACAGAAGCTGTGTAAATATGTGGCAGTATAGACATTTCTCTTCAGGAATAAAATTTAACAGTTGTCCACACTGTGAAATATCATGTATTACAAATGTCTGTCACTACTAGCAATACAGCTCATTTAGTAGTGGTGGATGATCGTGTGTGGAGACTATTTACCAGAAAATCAAGGCACTTAGTAAAGTACCAATGATTTTGAAATATAGCTTGCAATATTGTAATTACCAATTATTTTTCTCCTTTTATTTCATATTCAGTAAGAATTATAGTTTCTCATCTGTCAAGAGAAGCAGGCAGTCTCTGAGAAAACAGCAAAATATCTAACATTCTTTTTTTACTGGATCGAAGAGATTTTTTTGCAGGAGTTTCTTGTATCTTGGTCAGATTTGTAATGTTTTGTTTCATAGCACTTTGCCTTCATGGTTTCTGCAAGCCCATTTTTCTGTGAGTCAAGCATCAGAGATCAGAACCCATTTACTTAGCTTCAGTTGCCTGTCACAGTTTAGCACACTTAATTTTTGTTGAACTGAACTCTTAAAACAAATAAGTTCAGAGATGCTGTGGATCCAGAGAGGCAAGTGGGTTCTTGTCATTTCTCCTCTGTGTGTCCCAGAGCAGCAGCAGTTGACAGTCATTGTTGATGGATGTTTGAAACAAATAAATAGGATATTTTTTTTGTTCCCAGTAGCCAGATGTTGCATCCTAGAAGATCTCACATTTGGAACAGAAAATATGGTTTGCTGATAGTTGCTGTTGAGAGGTCAAGGACTGAAATGAAGTGGAGAAGAAGCAGCTTCCCTTCTACTTGGAGGAGCTGTTGCTTCCTACAGAGGCACATTGACAGGGTGTAGCACTGCATCTGTTCTGCAGTTAGAAAGGACAGGAGTCCTAGACTGTCAGACTGACATCTTTCCTGAATTCTTTGTGTGTAATCCTGAAATTAAAGAGGTTTTGTTACTGGCATCGAGGGAAGCAGAATTCTGCTCTTCAGTGGGCAGGCGTGGGGATAAGCCTTTCTGTTGATTTGTCGCAGTGCTAGCAAGAAATTACAATGCTAATATTTTTAAAGCAATTACTGCATACAAATAACAGACTGTTAATGAAAGTAGGAAACCTAGCACTGTTCCAGAACTTGCAAGAAATAAATATTTAACCATTATATTACTATTCTGAAATGAATGTGGGAACATATCTCTGGACAGTTAAAAAGCTTTTTACCCAGTATTGACTCAACAGTTGGTACTGTGAATAAAATATCAGTTTGTCACGTATGTAATTGAATGGTATTTCAAGCCATCAAGAGTTTTGTTTCTTAAAAGATTTTTTAAAAAAATCAAAATCAATCTTGCAGACCAAGTGCATGATTTATTAGAACAACATTTAAGTACCTTAAAAGAGCATTGAGATCAACATGGTAATTTAAGTGATCACAATGATTTCTTAATTTATGATAATGTGAATTATCATATGCAAAGAAATCTTTGTGATCCCTTTAAATTAATGCAGATCAGAGAATTGTGTAGTTAATGAAGTGTTTGAGGAAGAGCCATTCTGCAAATAGTGCTATAGCTCCTTAATCTCTGAGATGCAAAAAGTTGCTCTTGGAGGAAACTATTTTTTCCAGGATAGTAAACTTTGTGCATTTCAAATAGGATGGGAGTCTTGCCATGTTTTATATTATTTTTAGTAAGTATTAAATCAAAAGTATCTTACAGCAAAACAACTTGCTGTCTTGCCCGAGGTGGGATCAAGCCCACTGAGTTAAATAAACCATGTACCATGATTTCGTTACGTGTTCCTGTTTGCTCCTGGAATTCTTACCTGCAAAGGAAGGAACACAAACTTTACTGTGCAATTAAGTATTTGATGGAGCTTTTATTATGTGAGAGATCCACAAGGGGGAGACTTTATTCTAGAATAACCTTGTTTGGGACACTTCCGTCTGTCAGGGACCTGTGCAAGGTGAGAGTCCACAAAAGCCCCGTGCTCAGTGTTTTGTTGGCTTCTTGGCTTTCTATTTTAAGGTACTGTAGTCACCTTTTACTCTGATAAGCTGTGGGTTTATTTAAACCCTTATAAAGTTCACAGCTTAAAGAGAAAAAAAAAAAAGGACCATGACAGTCAGGGAATGTAACTGCATATCCACACACTCAGAGCAGAGACAGTTGTTTTACCAGATTTACCCAACTTTTGAATAATGACTGTCCTGTGCTTTATATTTTCTTACTTCTGAGCTATTGTTCTTTCAGCCTAACAGATCATAATATTGGGTTCATTCATTTTGATGACCCCTGTCTAAAGTTTTTGGCAGTTTCTGTGTGCACTAGGTGCTAACACATGGTGTGCAATACAGAGTGCTCAA